GTTTCTCCAACACGGAAATCACTTGCATGTTCTGAACATCACTTGCGTGATGACATCACAGGTTGTAATTCAAGTTTGCTTCTATTATTGATAAAATTATATTACAAGTACTGAAACATTTTTCTTCTACCACTGTATCACATATTTGGAGGTAATATTTATCCAGGGGAGGGTCATAGAATTTTAGGACGAGTTCAAGGGGAGGGTCAAGACATTTCAAGCCCTTACCAGAGGAGGGTCATTGTATTTTTATCGCTCGACTGAAAATCTCCACCCCCCTCCCCCCCTGCTAATTTCTGACAAGTTCCTAATGTAAAGCATCTTGTAGAGAAGGCACTCGCAGAATTTAAAAGCAGTTTTCAATCCTTGATGAGCTCTTTCCATGATGATCACGCATATGGACTCCTACCATTGATCCCTTGTGTTCATCAATGCGTTGATGTAGGTGTCGAAAAGTATATATAGCCAAGGTTTTTGTTTTATACTATATTTTCTTAAATTATCGGCTGGTTCTGGTTTTTAAATTGAGGCTATCTACCGTTTTTTCAAGAAGAAAAACTTGGATAGTGATTTTAAATTATTATAATTTCAACTTACCTCGATTGAACGCGAAGTATTTCCTTTGCTAACGGCCGTTTGGCACGTAGGAGATTACCATGAACAATCAATAGTTGAACATCAAGCCAAGGATTAACACATTCTGAAGATAACTGATTAATAAGCTTTGTTTTAAAGCCAGAAACATTTTCACGCGTTTGAATTGCGAGAGACTGCAGCATCACGTTAGGATCTATCAAATTCGAATCGCTCAAATCCAAATGACGAACAGCTAATTCCCTGTTTTTTCTAGAGTATTCACACTCTTGCCAAATCGACCGTGCTCGTGCTAGAGCGATCACACTCTTGCCACTCCCGGGCCTACCAATTAGCAATATTCTTGATTCATTTTTTTTAAAGTCTTTGCACCCTTGCCAAAGCGATCGTGCTCTTGCTAAAACGACCACACTATCCACACTCTTGCCAAAGGCAGACCTAGCAGTTATTACCAATATTCTTGATTCATCTTTTCTAAAAGATGGTCATTGGGATGGCTGTTATTTCATGGTTATAACTAAGATGGCAATAATGATGAAGATAACGATGATGATATAATGATTATGATGATAATGGTATGTTGATGACCCAAACGGTTAAACGTGAATCATTATTATAGATGACACAGAACTATACATGTTATTTAACGGAGGATATAGAGCTCTTTTCCACTCATCGCAAAACAACAACTCGCAAGCTCGCTGCAAGTGCTTGCATCTATTGAAAATAAACTGTGGAGTACTGTGATTAGATGAAAGTTGCGATGAATGGAAAGAGGCTTCGTAAAAGAATAAATGTAAGAATAAAAATATGTCACCCTCGTCTTGCGTACTCGGTAAACGATGATTTTCCTGTGTTAGGCATTCCTGTTAATTCTTCCAGTTTTACCATGGGTTCTTCACATCTTTCCTTCCATTGTACATCAATTTTCCCTGTGTTTTCTCTTAAAAGTTTAATTTATTGCATAAAATTTTCGGCCTAACTGTACAAGGGCAGAAATGCCAATAATCCGTTTTAAAGTGCTAAATCAAATGTCAAAAGTAAATATAAACTCAAACAGGAAAGGAAAAACCACTTCCAAACTCAAGTTGCTTTTTCTCATTTTTTTATCCTATAACGTTCCAAGATTTTAAAGCCAGGTCCGAATGTCCAATGTCAATGAGAATAACGTGCTACTTTTAAATTTAAAAATCATTGGACCTTAAACGACACGCGTGAAAAAAAGCTGGAGACATGATTCGTGATGAAGTACGCGCTTTATGAGTACACATATATATTTTCCACCGGAAGTAATGCAGAAGCCAGTCATGCATATCTATTTGCATATTTTGAGAGTATAAATAATAGCGTGCGAAGCACGAGCTCCATCACGTGTAACACTAGCCCCACACTACGGACAGAAGTTTGCTTTGTTTTTTTTTTAAATGACTTTCCCTTTACTATCCTTATTACGCAAGAATTCGGGCTGGTCCATTTTCTTTTGGTCTGCTTTCAGGCCGTCGATTTCCTGGTGAAAAAGACCTATGTTTCAGGTGCGGAAAGCGCGGACATTGGGCCACGACATGTTGAAAATTCCACAGCCCCTCCCGCCAATCCCAGTCCTAAGTGCCAACACGACCACCTTATTGGGGAGAGTCGCAAAAGAAAATATGAAGAGCCTTTAGAGCCAGTTGACAGTGATGTAAACGAACACTGTGTGACAGACGGACATAAGGATGTTGTAGAGGTGAGCCAATTTATTCCTGAATTCTATCGCTTAAAAGGTGAAAACAGTTCGACTCCTGATTGCGTTCAAGTAAAGGGTCGGTTGAAGGCACATGTGGAATTTTGGGTAAAAATCCAGGCACCAAACTTTATTATACAGTGCATAACTGAAGGTTATAAGATACCATTTTATGAAACCCCTCCGAGGGCTTCCTTCGAGAATAATGGTTCCACTAACGCTCATAAAGAATTTGTAACAAAATCCATTCAGGAATTATTGGTCACGGGGCGTATTGTCCAAACTAGCGAGGATAATCTTCTCGTAATTAGCCCTTTGTCAGTCTCTGTTAACAAGGACAAAAAACGTTTGATTTTAGATTTACGTTATGTTAATCAGCACATATACAAACAAAAAATCAAATTTGAAGATTGGCGAACCGCCATGAATTATTTTGGCAAAGGGAAGTTTTTCAAAATTTTGACCTGAAGTGTGGGTACCACCACCTCGATATATTTCCTCGATATATTTTCGTTTTCTGGGTTTCTCTTGGCCCTCTGGTTCGGGCGAGAAGCATTTCTACATGTTTACAGTATTGCCATTCGGACTGTCTTCAGCCCCATATATCTTTACTTTAACTAATTCGTCCTTTGGCACAGCATTGGCGTTCCCAAGGCATAATTATCACGATTTTCTTAGATGATGGGTTAGACATGGAAAATTCCCTGCAAGTATCCCGGGAAACCGCAGCAACTGTACGGTCTGATATTAAGGCATCCGGTTTTGTCCCAAATGATCAGAAATCTGTTTGGGAACCCACACAAATAATTTGTTGGCTTGGCTTGCAATGGGATGGTGTTTTAGGGACTATTGCTATCAGTCCTCAACGCATAGAAACATTATTTGCCGATTTGAACGATGTTATTAATCAGGAGAAAGTCAGTGCTAGGACTCTAGCAAGAGTGGTAGGACGGATCATTTCTACAGGTCCAGTCACTGGGAATCTTGCCCGTATTATGTCAAGACGTTGCCAGATGTCGATTGCTAATATGGACACTTCGGACACTCCTTCTGTGCTTGACCACTATTCCTTACTTGAGCTTAAGTTTTGGCAAGATAATATCAAAGCGCGAAATGTGAGAATTTGTCAATAGTTTTGCGATTCGAACAAAATTGTGTACTCCGATGCCAGCAATCATGCCTGTGCCGCACTAGTTCTTGGAACAGAGCATATTGCACACCGCATGTTTAGACCTGTTTACAGAAGAAGAGACAGTTACTAGTTCCAGTTATCGAGAGCTCCTTGCTATTCAGTTCGGGATTGCATCCTTTGAACCGCTTCTCAAGGGTTGTAGTATAAAATGGTTTACTGATAGTCAGTCCGCTATGAAGATTGCCCAGGTTGGCAGCATGAGATTAGATTGTCATAAATTGGCAATCGCTATATTTTCTATGTGCTTGAAAAGTGGGATTCAATTAGACATTCAATGGATACCCAGAACACAAAACACTCAAGCGGATTATATTAGCAAATTCACTGACTATGACGATTGGGAGATTACAACTGATACTTTCCAGCAGTTAGAGGCCCTTTTTGGTCCACATACGGTTGATTGTTTTGCGAGTTACAGGAATGCTAAGGTTAAAAATTTTTCTCCAGATATTGGAACCCTGGTACTGCAGGGGTCGATGCGTTCTATCAGGATTGGTCTAACGAAAACTGTCTAGTTGTGCCTCCTGTACCTATTGCGGCTCGAGTGCTGAATTTTATGTATCAAAACAAGTGGAAAGGGATGCTATAGTGGTTCCCTTTTAGACTTCCGCTTCATATTGGCCACTCATTGTTTCTAAGTTTTCGTCCTATGTTCGAGGACAACTTGTTCTAAAAGGGAGCTTAGCTTTAAGTCAAGGGACAAAATATGAAATGCTTACTCGGTTCTAAATCGTGGACAGGCAATGTCTTAGCGTGGCAATTTGATTTCTCTTTAATGATTTAGTGTGACACATTGTATTGGGTTTATACTTTTATAGTTACGCTAGTTGCAATTGGATCATAATTGAATAAATATATTACATGATGCCGGATGGCAAAATGGCCTGGTTGGCGTAGGTTTTTGGGATAAATAACGATGCCGGATGGCAAAGTTATAATAGTTACATGTTGCCGGTTGGTGCCCATGCATGCCTATAATGTTTAAACAAAGGCAAAGTTATATTGTTGATCTGCATGTTGACGAGCCTGTTCATCAATTTGCAGTCATGTTTTAACATATCGCTCTGTTTTAGGTACAACTTGATACACACAGAATTTTTGTTCCATTGTTTTCCACGATATTGTGCGTTCATCTACTTGGGCAAGATTGCCGGTGAATGAACGAAGGATTGGAAGGAACATTGTAGGGCAGGTCCTAGACTCGCGAGCAACCAGTACTGTCAAAAAAATACCTGGGCGCATACAAGAGATATAAATCGTTCCTTGCTGATACTGGGCACTCTACATCTTTACCTACGCAAAGCATTCTCGTTTCCACGTACTTGTCGTATATACGCGATCATAAGTCATCCTACAATGCCGTTCTGTTGGCGTTTTGCGCCATTAAATGGGTTCACTCTCTATTTCCCATGAACACAGATGGCAATCCCGCAGACACACAGGTTTCGCATAATATAGTCGAAGCTAGCAAAAGACTGTTTTGCAAGCCCCCTAGCAAAAACGAGCCTTTAACCGTTGAGGTGATCAGACGTGTCTGTCAAACATTCGCCGGTTCAACGGCAACCATTTTGGATCTTAGAACTGCGCTAATTTTTTCATTAGGTTTTTCAGGTCTTTTTAGGATTGGCGAATTACTCGAGCTTCAAGCCAGGGATGTCGTGATTAATGAAGATCATGTCGAGATCACAGTGAAAAAGTCCAAGACGGACCAATACCGGCTCGGTAATAAAGTCTTTGTGGCAAAGACTAATGGGCCAGCGTGTCCATATGGTTTGCTGTCTCGGTTTTTTCTTCTAGCGAAGATACTGCCGTGTTCCGACCAGTATATTTTTCGATCGGTCAATTCTCTCAAACAAGGTTCAACGAAATCTACGGTGAATAAACCCATCAGCTATTCAAGATGTCGCGAGATTATCAAGGATACTTTGGGGAAGGTTGGAGCGGACCCGAAATGCTACAGTACTCACAGCTTGCGTTCTGGTGGTGCAACGGCAATGGCACAAGTTGTGACGGGTAATCCAAGTCAGAGCAGACATCTTCGCTTGCAAGGACGATAGAAAACGGACAGTACACGAGACATGTATATTACGATTCATTAGATAACAGACTTTTGCTTACTAGAACTTTGAATTTATGACTACTTACTATGAAAAATTAAGTGCTTTGTTAGGAGAATGTAATAGGTTTATTATTGAAATGAAGTGTGTTTAGGCAAGTGTGTACACGCAGCCTACCATGTATTACATGTGTGCAGTTGTTCTTCATGAATGTAGGAGGAAAATGTTTTTCCTTCGTATGAACGTAGTCAGTAGAAGGAAAGCTGTAGGCTACTGCACTGTATACTGACGGTATATGGTACGAGATGGTATATGATGTTTTGTTAAATATATTATAATTTGGCTTCTAGGTTACTTAATCGACTGTTTTTGCGCAGCTTAATTAATTAAAAACTGTTTCAAATGAATAGGCATATCAGGGTGTGCATTGGAGAAATTTTTTAAATGCTGCATCAAAAATGAATGAATGCTACTTAGCTTACTTAAAAACAATTTGGTATGATACTGCACGCGAACAACATCAACTGACGACTTTCATTGTTTTATTTTAACTTACAAAAACTTTAAAAAATATTACCTGAAGGTGACTCTGGTTCTTCAATTATGACATCATTCAATGACTTTTTCTCATAATTTAGATCTGAATATTGTATTATAATTAAAAAATCTCCAAGTAAATAGTACTACTACTTTAAACAATTTAAATAATTAAGTAATCAACTGTGGCCTTTGCCCTACTCACCGCTATTGTTTTGTGATTCACAGCCGCCAAAAATAGCATCAGTATTGTCTTCAAACTGATCACCTTGATGGAATGAACAAATAAAACGGCTTGTCAGTTAAAAACAAAACAGATACAACTGCATACATGCATTAGTTCATGACAGAGTATTTTTTCTACCGAGGTGGTTAAAATGCGTCCGACAAAGCAGTTAAAGTTTCGGGGACAATCATTATTAACACTATAGGGTAATGATGAATTCATAAAATTGTCAAAAGAGGCCCCTACAAATTCTACAACATCACCCACCACACGACGTTTGGCAGCAAATTACCCGGTTGCCATCAGAAATTCATACCAAATTATTTACTCTTAATTTACTTTGGTTAGGATAAGTGTGTTCGGCTAAGCTTATAGCCTAGTGATTAGAAAATAATACAAATTTAATGTTCACCTTCAGAGTCGCAATCTCCATTATAACCACTTAAACAAGAATTTGAATCATCATCGGAACCGGAACCATAAATGGGATCTAAAAATAAAAATCATTGGAAAGTGAGAAATAGTTTTCTTCGGAGATGTTGTTTTAGAGTCAAAAGTACGTTATGGAAGTATGACTGGATTAACTTAATTGTGTATGCCCGTACAAGTCGTACCACTTTTATACAAATCCTGGTGACTTCATGAGAAATAAAAGAAACCACGGATTGTTTTATTTGTGGTATTTTAAAAAATGAAGTAATGTACAGAGCAAGATAAGTCAGAGAAATGGTGGTCGTCGAGGAGTGAAGGTAAAATTCCAATGTCTTGCTGTTAAAATTTGAAGTGTAGTGTTGAAATACGAACGATTTGGAACACTATTTTTTCATTATTTCTTCAAGATTACGCTTTGCAACAACAGCTTAAAACCTTTGGGCAATTAGAATCGAGCAGAAACTGCGTGTTGTTTATAATCAGTACAATTGTTTTAGCTCAGTCTCAGTGAATGTGCAAGTATAATCCAACAGAGGATTTAGAACTGTAGCGTGTTATTTCATTGCAGCAGAAGTTTCGATTTTTCGAAATTTACTACACTGAGACTGCATGCAATATTTTGTGCAGTGCTTCCACATTGTTTTCCAAATTTAGTTCAATAAATTGAAAAATGTCCTTCGAAAATCTTAGAATTAATGGCATTGTACTGACATCTATTGTACCGACAAAATTTGCTTCAGAAAATGTTTGAAACGGGCCTCGACTAGAATCGACTTAATAAGTCCAACTCCAATTTCAAACGTAATAAAAATTAACATCCGTTAACTTAAATTCAAATATTTAAACACGCCAAAATATTAAAATAAGAGGAACAATATTATAATTTTTAATAATTATACTCGCTTTCTTAGCTGAATTGAATTATGCAGGGATACCGAATTACTGTGTATGTTGGGGGTTGCATGAGGTGCTCAGTACAACAATCAGCGCAAATATATGTACGCCTAGTGTATCTATTTTTAACTATGACTTTGAAATGTTGCTTCATAATGCCGTTGGGAAGTTAAGTAAAAGTTTCATCTATATAAACACTGACCAGAATTTGCCAACGATCTTTCTTGTTGAACAGCATCAATAAGTTTTCCAATTGTTAATGTTTCCATGTCATGAATGCACGGTAGCTCCCTGAAAAAGATCTCATATTACAGTTATTGAACAACAAAATAATTATAGAACAGTTTGAATTCTTATGTACCTTGAAGACATGGCAATCATCTCAGCTAATTTATTGTGTCCATGTTCTCGTGCAGTTACATCAACGTCTTTGTAGTATTCACTACGATACGCAAATACGTCCGCCAAGATACCAAGCTTAATTAAAGTACTAAAAAAGTGTTCATCGCCTCCTTTTGCCATTTCGTCACACAAATACATTATCATTGGCATATCAACGGCATTATTTTTGAATTTTTTATTAAATCCTGTACAATCCATGGATTTACCTATAAAAATTCAACAATTAGGTTTTCTTTACAAGGTGATTCAGGTGCTCTGTTCAATAGTGCGGGGCATCAAGGAAGATGGACCTAATTTGAAAGCGCTGAAATGGAAATCCGATATAAAAATCCCTCTGTATAAGGATTAAGGGTCAATTTCAGCATTTTCGAACGTTTTGATGTTTCATGAACTTTTAGCATAAAAGCAATATGTTTGGTTATGAAGTGTTAGAACACTCTTCTGTTTTCTGAACTCGGTTATTTTTCTCGTTTTTGCTTGTATTTGAAATCGTTCCTGGGGGAGGGCAACAAGAGGCTTGGGCAAAGCCCCGCTCAATTTAAAAAACACTAGCTCGTCTAAAAGGATAAGGCACTTCAATATGGCGAATTTCAGTAAAGTCACAAATGTAATCGACATTTTAAAAAGACGATCAATAAAATATGTGCCAATAAAATAATAAGGTAGAACCGTAGAAGCCAACTTCGTCGAAACCAATTATTGAAATAATATGTATGTTACATAAGAACGTTTTTGATTGGCTGCCATACATGCTTGCTCAATAAGTATTAACTCAATTCAGCAGTCAGCACGGCAAATAGTGCGGGAAATTCTTGCCTCTGTTTTGGGAAACATTTCCTCGAGAATTTTCAAACTTTTTCATTGTTTTAATCAATAAAATATATTAATTTGTTGTATGAAAATACTCATCCATTTACTTTTGACAGATAACCGATTTATTTTAACCAAATCATGTGTAAAAAGGCAAAGTTAAAGCTTATACTCGTGAATCAACTGTATTAAATCGCAATGTGGAAGAGTTTTTTGCCGTGTTTATCACAGAGTTTGGTGGGGGAAAACACTTCTAAAACGGCAAAACTATAGTGCACGATTCTTCTTTTTTTAGAAAAACACTTCTAAAACGGCAAAACTAGTGCACGATTCAAGATAGGTAATACCAGTGCAAAACAAGCGAATAATGACCAGTCTGGTGCAGTTTCCACCGCATATTTTCAAATTACTGTAATAAAAAAATAATTTTATTGTTACTTTGGATTGTTGACAAGCTAGAAACATGTTTACGTATTTCTTTAGTGTTTTTTTTTTAAGAAAACTGAGACTAAAATAGTAGTTTACGCATGATTTGATCAACATCTGAATTCTTGTATCAAAATAGTAAGTGCACAGTGAATAGAATAAAAATTACACTATACGGCAAAAAATTGCCGTCGTTGCGGCAATGATCCACGGCATTTTGTTCTCTGGCAATTGCCGTGATAAAATCCAAGCCCTGGTCTAGTGTATAAGAACAAAACTGTATAATTTAACGCGGCAAATGTTGAAATAAATTCGAAATAAATACCCTTAATAAAAGCTAGCCTTAAATTATCACAATGTCAATAAAATTTCGATTATGTTGAACTCCACTTACATTTCATTGCCGTGGCAAGGTAGCATTGTCCGAATCCTATCTGCCGACTTTCTAGCGGCCAAAAAATGTTATATTATAAAAGAATTTTTCATGATTTGGCGTGCTCAATCGAGTTATTGAGCACTTGGAAAGTTGCGAGAGCACTCGAACGCTAGAGT